AAAGTCAACTGTACACTGAAAAATCAAACTTTGATTTTTTGGTCAAAATCAAGTGTCAAAGATCACAATTCATCAAAATATGTCAAAATATGAAACTTTTTCATCAAGAAATCAAAAAGTCAATATTTCATTTTGAAAAGTCAAAGTTTCCAAACTTAGAAATTTTTTTAAGTGTTGAAAACTTCATATTTTTTCACAACTTTGAGCCAATTTTTCACCATGATGCAAGATGATTCAAAAGAAACTTTCATCATGAAAGTTGTAGATCTCCATGATATCTAAAACATTGATTTACACAACTTCTCTTAGAAATGCTTGGGTCTCAAGTTATTAATCCATGAAGTCATGGTCATGAAACTAAAACACTTAGTGAAATTTTTAGCAGTTTTAGTCAAGTTTTTGTTCCAACTTCTTGGCCAATTTTCATCAAGTTCCAATTTGATTTAACAAAAGTGGAAAACATGAAAGTTGTATAGGAGGTTCCAATCTTTCCAAAAAGTCCAAAAACTCATTGAGATCATTCTTGAGCTGAGAGAATCGAAGAGATGAAATTAGGGTTTCATTCTTCAATTACAAGGAAGAATTTGTGATGAACACTTGACTAAAATTCCAATCAAAGCTACAAGATCTCTCTTTTCAGGCCATGTTATCTCCAAATATATGCATAATCAAGCAATTACACAAACCCTAAGTGTATTACACAAGCATTTGAAGCTTTGTCCAAGTCTTGATACCATTTATGGTTAGAAATGCAAAAGCAACATTTCCATTTGCATAAAGCTTCACTTTTCCAACCACTCTCTTCTTTCAAAGCTTGAAATTTGTTCTAAAGATCACATAAAATCTCTCAACATCAGAAGCAATCCATAAGACCTGCAAAGCATAACTAAGTTCCTTAATTCACTCCTTTCTTCATCATGAAGCAACTTGTCTTTATGAATTTGAAAAATGCATGACATGTGATTTTCAAAAATCTGAGTTGTTTCAAGTCTCAAACCTTCTCTATAAATAGAGATGCCAATTGCAAGAGAAAGAGGTAAAAAAAAAATAGAGAGAAAAGCCAGAATTTTTGTTGTAAACTAGCCATCAAAATTCCATACTCTCAAAAAAGCCATAACTGTGTCAAAAAAAAGCTTCCACTCTTGAGTTTTAAAGTCCAAATCTTTGGAACTCTCACACCTTACAAGCTCTGTCCAAACAAACTATCCAAACACTCCACATACATCATATAGGCATCAACTCAAGTTCAAAATACAGATTCCAACTTCAAGGTAAGTCTCCTTGACTTTAAACCCTTCATTTCAAGTATCATTAGTTGATTCATCTTCTAAGATAAAATGTAATAACCATTCCCCTTGAAGCTAACCTTTGTTTGTCTTCCGTTCTTGTCATTTATGTGTTGAGAACTAACCCCTTCGTGCAGAAAAACAATGATAGAGTAAAAAATTGCAGTATGAGTCGACACACATTCACATGGGTCGACTCACTTTAGTGGCAGGACAAATCATGAGTCGATATAAAACCTCATGAGTCGATACATACTGCTATAACAAGCACAAAACAGAAAGGAAAAAGGCTCATGAGTCGACACAAAACACGCATGAGTCGACACATACCCTTATGCATCGACTCATACTGATTTGATTTGGACTTACAGGAGCAAGACAAGCTTATGTGTCGATGCAAAAGAGCATGTGTCGACACATAATATTCAAAAATACAGTTTTTCATTCTTTTACATTGTTTTATCTATTTTCATATATTTTCTTCATCACTACTCAATATGGTTGTAATATTTAAGCTCCTATTCATCCTCATTTATAAATTGTACCCCTATCCCCCTAAATGGTGTAATAGCGTAAGACTTTATTTTTCGCAATTTACCGCTTTCAAATATAAATGCTAGTAACTATGGTGCGTATGGCAAAACTAAAATCAATCCTTAGACAACCCTAATCCAAGACAAAACAATGCATTAAATCAAAACACTTGCAAACTACACCTCTAGGGTTAACTCCATTTGTTGTCTTGAGAAGATGGACATATTATACATGTGGGGTATCTTAGCAAAAACAAACAAAATACAAGATCATAATCCCTCGATGACGCTATCAAAGTTGTCTTTAAAAAATGATCTTAGTCCCTTAAAGAAAATGCTAAGATATCTTACAACATTGCTAATCATGGCTATACGATGATCCTTGCCCGTCCCTTTCACATCCAAAGATATGGTTACTTACCAAATCAATGGTAAGATAACAATGTCAAAGGAAAGAGGAAATAAACATGAAGGACTTTTGAGTAGGTAGATTGTTCCTAGTTGCTTGCTCATTTTCAAACCAAAAACATCCTTGCTATTTTTAAAACAAACACAACATTTTCAAAACATCTTTCAAACTTGAAAACATTTTCAAAGGATCAACACTTTGTATACATTCTTACGAACGATAATCATTACAAAGTTTGTCTAAACGATGACATCTTTTCAAAATACTTTCAAAAATCACACAAAGCACATTTTCAAACAAAAGCAAGTGATCTAGCAAGCAATTAAGAGTTCATAGATAACTATGGATGAAAAATGTGTTAATACCTTCCCTTTTCATAATCTATCCCCCGAACTCAAGAAAACATCTCATAGGTCTTTCTTGTTCTTTTCAACCTTTCCTCTTGGATAAAAGAAAAGTCGATGGCGACTCTTGCTAACCACAACATTTGCGATCAAACGCAAAACAACCAAGTCAGTTCTTCCACCGCGTTACAGCCTCCATTATGGGCGGAGTATCTAGGCCCATAATGGATGGCTGCCATAATTCTCATGTGGTAGTGAGGATAAACATGTACCCATCATCAGTAGTGAGGATGAACAACACGTGCCCATCATCCTGGGCCAAGTGCTCTGTGGATTTTGGAGTAATGGTCTGACCACGTCCGTTACGAGGAATATAATGGCTCTGAAGAGTGTGGAGCACATTGATGACGTGACCTCAAGTTAGGAGCACGTGGATAACACGTCTTCAACTTAAACCCCCACAGGATTAGGCCATCATTTGGGCCGTTGTGGACGCAATGGGCAAGTTAGGCCGCGTCCGACGGTGGACCATGTCCACACCCAATCCAAAACACTACATTTGTGAGAATCCATCATTAATTCTTGTTGCGCCTTCTTTAAAGGAAAAAATTAGCATATTTGAGTGTGCAATGATTTTAGGCTTGATTCCAAACAAGAAGCAAAAAATCATGGATGGTGGCTAATCACAACATATTCATGATTATATATATAGTTAGTTACAAATGTGTGAAAATATCTTCAAGATAAACTTTTATGATTCATTCATTATTAATGAAAATACAATTTAAATTCACTAAAATTTGAAGAAGTCAATACACATGCCCGTTGATAGTATAAAGTAATTTGATCAAATTGTTAATAATCAGGAAGAAAAATTAAAAAATAACCACAATGAATATAAAGAGTTGATTTAACATGACATATATTCAGAGGATGATAAATTTATATATTTATGATATAACCGAATCAGAAACTTAACAAAATGGTTTTTGAAACCAACTCCAAACAGGGTCTTGTTTCTACTAAGATGAAAACCATACCAATTATAATTTATTTAACAACAACCAAGCATGCTGGGAGCCAGATTATTCTTCCATGCTCACAATGTTTTCGACTTCGCAGAAGCAGGAGGAAGCAACTGCATAAGACCAACCAGAGATCATTGCCAGTGAAAGTAAATATAGGAAGAAAAATGTAGTTATACTAGCAAGTAGCAAGCACCTGATAGCAAGATATAAGAGACGAAGCAAATCCAAACGCCCCGGTAACACGGGGAGTGATTTTCTGAGGTGCCAACTGAAGTAGTCCAGCAGCTACCACTACATCAATGCCTGCTTTGATAAGTGCTAGAGTCCTTTCATTTGACTTTTTTAGCTTGGCTTGGTATTGCTCATTCTGCATCCATAAGTAATTGAAGTAAGGAAATCGCAGTCGCGAAGTAAACCAGAGACGGAAACTATGAAGAATTCAAACTCGAGCATAGACAACAACATACATCATATTTATTACTGTTCTTGATTTCTTTCTCTAACTTCTTCATGGATCCAGAGAGTCTTCCGAGCTCCCCGAGCTAAACAACGAATAAAATTTCATGCAAAGGTTTATAAAAAGGGCATATGTGTTGGCATAGGAAGATGTTTATAACCCACAAACCTCAACCAAGGTGGTACACACTGATGAAGCCATCCAACAGAAGAGAGAAATCCGGCCAAGTAGTTCGGTACGTTCTTTGTTCTGTAGTTACACAAATAACATTCTTGTAAGTACCGTGGTGGTGTATTCTCGTGTAATAATAGTACGAACAAATAACAGGATGCTGATGAAAACATTTTCTTACCTCAACGATACCGGTTCTACCAAGCCACACAAATTGATCAAGAAACAAGAAAGTGGACAGCAATGCATTCTTGGACTGAAAAAAAAAACATTCAACAAGAGATTAGGTAAATAGATTAAAGATGAAAAGAGGATAATGTTGTTTGAGTTATCATACCTTTCCCAACAGAATTAGAGGGAGGGGAGTACCCTGTGGTGTTGGACTTATCAGAGCATGTAGGTCATTGACAAACTGCGATTTAAAGAGGTGAAGTATAAGAGCGACTATTATTAAATAAACTAATTATGCGTATGTTGGTTTCAAGGTTGGAGTACTTGGAATTGATTTTGGGTGTGTAGAATTGATTTTGAGATGTTGGGTTGATCCCGAGTAAAACTAACCTTAAATAGACGAAAAACTTTTCGTGCTAAGCTGGTTGTTTTGTCTACATTCTGCGCCTTACCAGGTTCACCATTACTCAAAAATTTAGAACCATATTGTATTGCTCTGCAAATCTTGTCCCTTGCCTCAGCCTTGTTCAAATACAAAACAAGAAGGCCAAGTTCTGCCCTAGTTGCATCCAATGAACTCATTTTCTATGCTAGTGCGAGATCACTGCCATAAACAAAATTACATAACAGTTCATATTAAATGAGAAGGATAAAAAGTTATAGACATATAATCTTATTTTACATACCAATGTTTCCAAAGAGTTTTTTTAGTTAAAAAAATCCATCCTAAAACCTCATCCTTAGCAATATATCGAAACAATCAGGATGGTATATGGCGAGGGTGGAAAAAAATTCCACCATTATATTGTCCTTTACAAGTTCTAAATGTGGTTACTATTAGTGTTGTCAATGGCAGAGAGCCAAAATCCCACCATACCGGACACTTTGTGGCGCCATTATAGCAGATTATGGAGGAAAAAACTGCAATATCAGTCGATATTTACCATTGCGGCGAGCCCAGAAACCGCCATGTATATCCACCATAATGCCACAATGGCGGATATTTGGTAACCCTGATTACTAAAGGCTCAACTTTCAAGGTTTGAGATTTGATCTTCAAACTATATATCTTACAGATCACTCAATTCAAGTTATGTCACTTCTATCTTCAAATGAGAACTTCAATGAGATCAGAAATAATCTATTTTCATTTATAATCACCAAAACATGATGTTCTTAACCTCATCAATGAATAGATTGGTTTGTAGTAACAAAGAAACAACAACACTAATCCAAACACCTGACACGACACTACACATTGATGCCAATAATAATTTTAGAAAATGAAAAATCGAATATAACCATGTGTGTCAGTGTTGAACACAAAACATATCTTCAATCTAGTGCAATGTTGTCCATAGCAGATGGCGGTCCATGGCGGAGAGCCCAAATCCCGCCATATCGGCTGCTTTGCGGCACCACTATTGCGGATTATGGCGGAAAAACACGCAATAGCGGCCGATATTTACCATTGCGGCGAGGCAAAAAACCGCCATGTATATCCGCCATAGCGGCCATGGCGGGGCAATTTGATAACACAGATCTAGTGTCAGTGCTACATAAGTTAGTAAGGCACTCTAAGTCTAAAGTCTAAAACAAAGGTCCGATTCGCACAGTCAAAGGCAAACGAGGATTATTTGCAAAAACAAAAGAATTCGATAGATATCAGCAGGTTGACCAAGGTTACTTAAATTCACCCAAAAGAACAATCTTCCTCTCTCTATGTCAAATCATTGAAACCAACAAGCAAATAAGGGCATCTACATCCAAGTATAATAACAGAATTACAATAACAGCTTTCACCAAATCCATCAAAAATAAGAAAAACATGAAAAGAACATCTATCATCAATCACGATGATTGAAATTGATATACAAATTTAACTCAATCAAATAATGTTATGTTACAAACAACATCAAAATCTTCCATTTCTCACTTCCTTTCTATCAATTTCCCAGCAATAAAGCAAATTACAAAACAACATATAACAATTATAATAATCATAATAACAGCAAAACAAATCACAAATTTTCAACGACCCAGTTCTGCAACCGGATTTAGAATCAAAGTAACATCCAATCATGCTGACCCAGAATCAAAATTGACATACCCACCTTGAAAGATTTGAACTTTTGTATCTGAAATTGCAAGTTCAAAAGGATCCAACAACTGGGCATGTGAATTCTCTATACTATTTGCTAATGATTAAAAAAAGTAAAGAAAAAAAACACGAGGAGAGAGAAAGAGAGTACCGAAAGAAATGGCCGAAGAGAAAAAAACTAGTGTTGAGAATCAGAGAGCATGAGAAGAAAGAGGTAGCTATGAATTGGGCCTGTGATAGATAGAATAGTGATAAGGGCTTGTTTGGTTGTGTATTTCCCGAAAGAAAGAAACAAAGAAACAAAAATGGATTATATCCCATGGAAAAATGTTGAACCGTTCGATGAGTCCGATGTCAAACATTGTTGGAACTTTGATTACGAATGGATTAACGTTTTTTTTTTTGTTTATTGGGATTTGTAATTTGCAGCATGCTATTCAAGGCCCATTTTTGTGACTACGTTAATCTTGCTAATTAAATTTTTTAATCGAACTAATTTTATTTTATTTTTATAAAAAAATCAAATACTATCTATCTATTAGAAGGATAGTTATTGGAAATCACTAGTAAACTAATTCAAGGGTATTATGGATTAATTACGTCAAGTTTAAATAATAGAGGTTTGACATTAAACGTTGGTGATGTATCACGGTGACAATGTATTTCATGTCCAGAAATTGGAAAGACACATTTAATTTGAAATTTTACTTTTTGTTGATTTTCTCTTAATTATCTCTCTTGCTTTAATAGATCTTTTACTATCCTTAATATATTGAGTACTGAAAGGTCATATTGAGAGTTGGAGTGAGAAATTTGTAATTTTTAAAATCGATTTTTCTCATACAATTTGAACTACCCCTAAAAGACTCGAGCTTCCATATCCATCTCACCTACCCACTGCCAAACACTCTTACTGGATCTGTTCGTACCGCTACCACTACTAATAACACATGTTAGTTATTTTGTTGTTCTTCGGTTTTCTCCTTTTCTTTGTTTTAAATGTTGTTCAATTTTTGTTTTTTGAAAAACCCGTGGATGTTGTTCAGTCTGTGTTGAATGTTGTTGAAAGTTGAAAGTTGTTCAATCTCTGATAATGTCGTGTTGTTGCCATTGATGTTGCTCAATGATTGATAATGTTTGATAACTGCCATGGATGTTCATGCGTTTAGTTGTATGGAAAATGCATGTAGTATTGTAATCTGATCGGCCATGTATGTTGTTCAATATGTGTTGAATGTTGTTGATAGTTGCATCATGTCCAGTTTGTGATAATGTTTCAGACTTGTCATTGAAGTTCACACTTTTAACTGCATGGAAAATGTGATATATTTCTAAGTTGTCGTTTAAATTTGTTTAACGTGCTTTGATCTTTGTTGTTCTTTCAGTTTACATACCAAGTCAATGACACGCCCAATTGAAGATGTCAGGGATATAAATGACTCCAAAGATTTATGAAAGATTACTGTTAGGTGTAAAGATTTGTGGTATGTCACAAGTGCATATAACAAAGAGTACTTGGAAATGATTTTGATTGATGCAACGGTATGATTGATATGTCACTTTTAAAACAACGTATATTGAAGTTGTTTATTGTCTCCCAATCGTGTTCGTGTCTAATGTCTCTTATTTATTTTTTATTTTTTAGTGTGACATGATCCAAGTAATTGTACCACCATATTTGATTTATGCAAAAGCGATAAGTACTACGCATGAAATATTTATTATTCCTATCAAACTTCCACACGATTTTATCCACATGGACCGCCTCAAATAACAAAGTATTAGGGACTTTCTCTGCCATACCCCCCTCCAACTATATAATTGATCAAGTTAGAATTCCACTGCTTACTATTTTGACTCATTAAGTCCGGAAATTTTAGCCTGGCTATACATGTGTTGTTCGACCATGGGTTAATCAAGGAGGCGCTATCATGCAGTCAATTTTGACCCCAAATTGGGATGCTCTCTCTCAAACCAATGCTCCATTTTTACCCTCCTCAAACCACAAATTTCGAGCTTCATATACTCTTCCAAACATAACTAGGATTATTCCCAATAATTGAGTCAATAAAGCCACAACTGGGGGAGTATCTCGCTTTGTACAATCTGGTAATTAGATTATCTAGATTTGTCATGAGACTCCAAGCTTGTTTACCTAGAATTACATAGTTAAAAGCACTGATATTCTTGAACCTCATCCCTTCATCCTTCTTAGATATATACAACTTATCCCAAGAAAGCTAATTCATACCTTTGGCCCGATCACGATTATGCCCCCACCAAAAAATACTCATCGTCCTCTCAATTTCATCACTTAAGGAGGAAGGGAATAAGAAGATACTCATAATGTAAGACATGATAGCTTACAAGATGAATTTGATGATAATTTATCTACCTGCTTGAGATAGACTCCTACTACTCCAAGAATTGATCTTTTTCCATACCCTATCTTTATATACTTGAAGGTTGTTGTCCTACTTCTACTAATCATAGACGGGACACCAAGTTACTTTCCCATCCCTAACACTTGTTGAACCCTTAAAGTATCTGCCAACATATCTTTAACACCTGGAACAATATTCCTGCTACAAAAGAGTTCAGATTTTTGCAAGTTAATAGCTTGTCCAGAAGCCTCTTCATAAGTGTCTAGAATATTCTTCATCTCGCTAGCTTCATTTGGAACAACTTTGAAGAAAAGAAAGCAATCATCGGTGAAGAGTAAATGGGATATGATTGGAGCATTCTTAAAAAAAATTATGTGGTGAATATCACCCCTAGCTTATGCCTGATTAATCAGTGTTGTTAGACCTTCAGAATATAGAATAAATAGGTATGGGGATAGGGGATCCCCTTGCCTCAAACCCCTACCAGGAATAATTGGACCAACCATATTACCATTCAAGTTAGTAGTAAATTGTTTCCACACACATCATGATTCACCCCTACCAACTTTTGATTGAAGACCATGGTGATGAGAACATCCCTCAAATAATTCCAATTGATCATGTCATAAGCTTTAATGACATCAAGTTTAAGAGTTATATTATCAATCTTACCCTTGGTCTTAGTCTTGATATGGTGAACCACCTCAATAGCCGCCATAGCATTATTTAGAATCTATCTACCAAGAACGAAAGTCGTTTGGTTTGCACTTTGTAAGACTTTCTTTAGATGATTTACGAGGACTTTGGCAATCACCTTATACAAAATATTACACAAGGTAATCGGTCTCTAATCTTTTAAAGAAGTTTGCACTTCACCTTTAGGGATGAGAGTAATATTATTCATATTAAGACTCAGAGGGAAGACACCATTTTCTAAACAAGAAACACTAGTAGTAAAGATCTCAATTCCATTGATATCCCAAAAATGTTGATAAAATCCAGGATTATAACCATCGAGACCGGTACTTTTGTCAACTTGCATAGAATAGATAGATTCTATAAATTCCTCGAGAACAAAAAGGATTCGTCAACATATTATTATCATCGTCAGAGATATAAGTACTTAAGGCTTGTAATACCTTATCATGGGAACTTGGCTTCATCTGAAAAAGATCGAAAAAATAATCATGAGTTATTCTGCATCTCTTTATTACTCTTTGTGAGAGACTTAATAGTGTTTATTTTCTTCCTAGACGTAGCTGCAATATGGAAAAACTGAGTATTCATTCGTCTTTAACCAGGAGAGAATTCATTCGTCTTTTGAGGCTATAAAATATTAATATTACCATTCCTAACATGAGATCTAACTTGCTCAATCTTCCCGTGAATAATATAAATTTCCTTTCTAATATTGTGACAATTGACTTTGCTTACCTTCAACATATTCTCACCACGGTGCTCTAGTTTGTCCACTATAGGAAAATTCTCTAGGTTATGCCATTGATCACAAACAAAATCATCAAACACTGGTTCAATTAACCAAACATTCTCAAATATGAACCCAATATGTGTCTTATGTCGTGTATAATTATTATCACACCGGAGTAGAATAAGATAATGATCTGACGTAGTAGCCGTAAGGAACTTCGGCTTAGCATCCTGAAATATTGAAATCCAAGCACTATTAGCCATAGCTCTATCAAGCTTCTCCTCTACTGCTCTACCTGTATCAAGACTATTGAACCAAGTGAATAAATGCCCTTCCATATGAATGTCCACCAATCTTGCTTCTTGAATAGCATGTCTGAAACCACTAATTAACCAATTGGGTCTTTCCACTCTCCCTTTTTTTATTCCTTAGAAACAATATCGTTAAAATCTTCCAAAAGGCACCACGATAAATTGGAAATTTCAAATAGATTACTGATAAGATTCCACGAATATATCTTATTCGAAATTTTGGGGTGTTCATATAAACCTGTGAGTCTCCAATTTCCATGTTTAATATCATGCACTATAATGTCAACATGGTCACGAGAATAATTTTAGATTGCACGATGGGTAAAATTCTGCCAAAATACTGCCATACCTCATCCCCGATCTTCTCTATCAACCGTAAAACAACAATGAAAACACAAGAGATATCGCAACTCCTCAATTTTATTAGCATAACTTATTGTCTTATATAGAAAAAGAACATTCAGTTTATAACTTTGGATGAGGTATTTTAAATTCAAAATTTCAATTGGGTTACCTAATCCCCTACAGTTCTAACTTATAACATTCATGGATCTTGGTAGGCCTGAAAATCAGCGCCCACCATTACAATAGTGACATCATAGCTAGAATTAAATTGCATGGTTATGTCATTTATAGCAACAACTTGTGTTTTCTCAGTAGAATCTACAATCTCAGTATCCTCTTTCATGCTTTTTGCCAATTCAAGCTTCGCATCAGTAGTAATGTTTCCTTCTGTTTGAGACCTCTTCTTCACGGTTTTACCTGGGATATTTCCTTCCTTAGAGTTATACTTCCTTTCCTCCAGCATGATGTTATTTTTCAGTGTATTGCGACAAGCTTGATCATTTATGGAGACTTTATTGACATGAGTTTTTTTTTTGTAACCAGTAGTAATGTCTTTATTTACTACATTTTCAAGCTTGACGCTAGAGTTTAGTCGCATCCTTCCCATCATATAGTTCTTGGTTTTGATTGCTTGGCCATTGAGTGCTTCAGAATTTTGGCCGAGATTCTAGTTTGTAGCAGTAAGTATGGAACCTTGTTTTGCAGGTATCAAATATTGTTTTGATGATGACAACTAAAGAAAGTTCATAAGGGTTATTCAACATATTAAAGATACAAAAGCTGAAAAATACAATGAGATATCGCAATATACAATCAATATGATAGAGATGCAACATGATGACTAATGTAGAAGAGCAATGAAAGTACACTCACCATATTAAAGATGCAACAAAGTTTCGCCTCAAATACAAAAAAAAAACATAACAAATAGCTTAGAATAATAAATGTAACAAGTCTTTAACTATAAAAGTACAAAATAAATGATCAACATGATAAAGATGCAATATATTGACAAACTGTAAAAGATCATAAAGTCAACATTAAGCATAATGAAGATGAAAATATAAAGAAAGTCAACCAGTGCACTTAAAGAAGTCAAAGATGCAAGGCATGGGTTTGATAAGAATTAATAGAGATCTTAGATAAAGCCTCAGATATGAACAATAGTTATTCAGACAAAAGGCAAACAAACATACTATATCAAAACCCTCAAAAGATATCAAGCAAAGGTCAAACATATGGAATACATCAGGCACAAGATCTAGGTTGATCACCCTAAAATAGAAACGAAGTGATTGACCATAAGCACGCGCACACACATACACACACAAACATTTTTTAAAGATGTTTTGAAATGAAATGAATTGAGGAAAATATATAAAAGTTCATAAAAGTGATCAGAGCATTCAAAAAGTCATAAAAAAAAATTTGGCTATATTTAATCTAGTAAGCCTATATGTTAATCGATTAAATAAAATCTCCCTTGCTAAACAAGGAAGTTTGAATTATCTCAAACTATTGGCAACATCTACATATCAAAACCTACCATTTTGGAAAAAACATAGTTGTTGGAATTTATGTGTTAATCGATTAAGTCAATTGATTAACAACAATTATTTTTAATTAAATGAGGTTCCCTCTTTTTGGATTCATCAAGCCTATAAATAGAGGTCTCATTTCCTCATTTCACATTATCCAGAACTCGAAATGTGTATTGACACTCTCTCTCTCTAAGTTTTTTTGTCACTTTCTCTCACTAGTTCTTATAGCCAAATGCTTTTGTGAGGAGAAGTTTATATATTTCTGGTTTGGTGGAAATGTATAAAATTCTTCAAGGTTGTTTTGTTTCACCTTGATGAATATCATCCACTTTTAGGGATAAAAAATTATGTTGTTCAAATCTAAACCTGTTAAAAGCTTTGGTTGTGAATTTGTGTGATTAGGCCCTAATCTATATAGGTTGGAGATTATTAATGCTGTTGAGCTTATCTTAAGACCATTGTAATTATTTATTAAAAGGTTGAAGATCAACAATATTGATGAACTCACCGTTAGGTTCATGGTTAGCTCGCTATAAAACCATATGTTAGTTGACCAACCTGTTAAAATTACAAGAGGTTAATGGTTATCATGTTAAACCATATTTAGCTCAAAGATTTTTAGTAGAGAGAAGTGATGATGCTTTAATCTACAAGTTAGAAGAGGAGCTTGGCCACTTCGATCTCAACAATGGAGAAGATGTGAACATTGATATATTTCGTCTTGTATTTATCATGGTTGTAGGACAACCAACATTTCCTTGTATAAGGGGGTTCATGAGCTTCACCTACTAAAAGCTCGCAAGTACTTAACATAAACTCTCAAGACCAATTCTTGAAAAAGGAGTAGGTCCTTTAGTTTTGACTGAACCTATATATGTTGTGGTGTTCTTCTTTTCCTTTAACTTTTACTTTTCATATTTGATTTCAAAATTATTTTATGCTGATAAGTTATAAAAAACTTTTGAAACTCTGATAGATCTTAGGTTTTGAAAAAAGTTTTTTAAAATTTGTTTTAATCTCTGAAAAAGTTTTTCAAAACCATGTTTTTCCAAATCACACAATTCACCCCCCCTCTTGTGTGTTAAGTCTCAAGTCCAACAATAAGAACATCCAGTGTTAAGTTTTTGCCTTCAACACACTTTGAATCACTTTCCTCATCCACTATACATTCTACCAAATCCTTGTTTTTGAAACTTTTCAAATCAGCACTGCTAATGAACAACTGATGTCTAGTATTAATTCGTTCAACATGTTGTTGATTCACCATGTTCTTATGATCGAAAGTAAATGAGTCTTTGCTTCCCCTGTCACCCTTCAATAGCATTTGAAACGGGAAAACAAAATTATTGCTATCATCATTAGGAATTGAGCTCTTTGTCGATACCTTCACAAAGTCAGATCCCGTGTTGCAGTGTGGGACGAGTTATGTGTTATTGATAGGTTACTGAAGCATCACTGTAAATTATCTTCAAGAGCATTTGAAAGAGATGGTAAATGATCTCTTTCATTTTAGTCTAAAATTCTGAATTCGAACTTAATTTTGGGAACAATGTAGTGTTAAATTTTTTTGAGAGAGACTTTTTTTTATCCCTTATAATCCTATTGGTTCGAAGGATTAACATCTACTATTGTGCGTAAAATTCTTGATTTCTATATAAAAAATAGTTAGCATCATATTTATTTAATTAATTAATCAAATTTTAATTATTAAGATTTTTAAGAAAGTACATTAAAATGAGTATATTCAATTTATTCTTAAATTAAATTGAACTTCTTGTTCAGTAATTGTAACAATGTTACTATGATTTTATTATTAAGACTATAAAAGGATTAAAAGTTGTTAATTTATTAGTATGAAATATGAATAGTTTATTTACATATAATACCTTATTATGGTGGTCAAAAACATCAATTCATAAGTTAAATTTTTTTCAAAAATATTGATAATGATTTGTTTTCAACGGGCAAACAATCAATTCTTTTGTATTAATGGTAGTAAATGCAATTTTTTGTATTAAATTATCATTTAATTTTCTATCATTTTAATATATTCCCTCCGTTTCTTTTTAAGTGTCATTTTAGCGTAAAACTC